TAAATGATACGACCGAAGTTGTCATTTATGGTTTGGAATTTATTAAAACTTGATGAATTGTTACCAAATACGATAAAGGTTTGATTAAATTTGAATTATATAATCAATTCAAAATGAAAATGCTATGAAATCAAAAAGAAATGGAATTAATTTAATATTTGAGTGAAAATTCGATATTTTTATAAAAAATTAGAATTTAGAATATGATGGTTACAAATCAAAATTTAGTTTACTTATAGTCATTCAAAAACGGCAAAAAATTTAACTATCAATCCAAGTAAACCGGGTAAAGTGATATTGTTTTGGACAGTATTTGAACTTAATATGGTCATTTCTCCAAATTACGTATATTAAAATTTACCTATCACAGTTTTAAAAATGTGCAAAGAGTAGGAATATTATATGAGATCGTTGCTATTAAACAAAAAGAAAAGTTTTTGAAAAAGTCCTGATCTCTGATTGTTGAAATTGATCTTCGCTAGATAGAATACGATCGAGGACCGAAAATTAATTATCTGCATCAAGAAATCGCTGTGTTGCATAAATTAGAAACACGTGGATATATGGCTAGACTGTATTATTGTGAACGTTGTAAACCGGTAAGATTCGATAACTGACAGTAAAATCTGAAAGTATTAAGAAAGCTTGTTGCCAAATCAAAGATGAATTGAAGAAATGATAGAACAAGAAATCAAAAAATTCGTCAGAAATAAATTTGAATAGCCGCACAGTAATATGTCAAATGTGGAAATTCATAGTTGGATGCATGGAAAAATGATCATTATGAATGTATGATCACGTCAATGAATAATTTGATAAAGTGTTTTTAAAATTTCAAGTGTTTTCAAAAAAAAAAATCCCGGATTAATAATTACGCATTGTTTAGTTTTCATTCATGTTAACAACACTATTCGGTAAAAGTATTTGGATGTTACGGCAGAATTTACCGAATAAATTGGTGTCACCGGGATGTGCAGCTCGCATCGCCGTACACACATTGTATCAAATTAAGCAAATACATGAAGTTGGCTATATTTTACGAGATTTAAAAATTGGTTTGTTGCATTTTATGACGAAATGATGTGATATACGAGATGTAGTATAACGTAATGTATGTGATATATGTGATATGTATCAGTTTGATAATATAGTCGTTTAACAACCAACTATTGAAGTGAGCTAGGTTAAAAGAAAATTTGAATTGAACGAGGCTCAACACTGCAAGATGGTCCAGCTTATTAGAAGAAAACTAATTAGTTAATTAATTAAAAATTCCTCAAATAACTAAATAATTCTCATCCCAGAATAATATTATTGTAGGAGATATGTTAATTGGATTAAACGGTAAAGCAGCAAAAATGATATTTTTGGTTGATTTTGGAATGTGTCGAACATATATTCGAAAGAATGTAAATGGATCAGTAGTAATTCGACCACAACGAGAAAAAGTATTCGTTCGTGGCATTCTAAGGTATTGAAGAGTTGCTAATAACTGAACAAGACTAGACTAGACGGGAGTAGAATAGATAAGACTAGTACGCTATCACTGTTCTCAGATATATGATTGCAAACTTGTTAAATAAAATTATTTCAGATAAAATTTATGAGAAAAATACTAATTATTAAATTTTAGTAAAATGATAGGTAAATAAGCTATTGTGCAAATTTAAACTGTTTGATAAGATTTACAAATTTTTACAAAAATTGAAAGTATCTGAAGATGTTCAATCCAAACAGATACAGCTCACCACGTGTTCACAAACGACAAGATGTTTGTCGAGCGGATGATCTCTGGTCGCTTGTTTATATTCTCATCGATTTAACTGCTGGACTTCCGTGGCGTGAAATTAAGGTAAGTGAGAAATGACTTTATGTCCCTTTAATTAGCGGAATTGATCGGTCGATTTTTAGGATTGTTACATGAACCATTTACTTATTGTATCAAGAAAAAAGAAAAAATCGATCAACCAATTAACCAATCGAATTCTTTTTTCAGTGAATTAATATCATGACGAATCACTGTTTACAGATAGAAAAACCAGTAGCAGAGCAAAAGGAAACGATTAGCGATGCGAAACTGTTTAAAGATTGTCCGGAAGAATGGATTAAAATAATGGAACACGTTCGATTTTTACGTTATGAATCACGTCCGAACTATAAGTTAATATATGATCACTTACAAGAAACACTGGTTCGATTTCAGGTCTCCTATTCAGATCCATGGGACTGGGATCTTGTGGTGTGTTTTCTATCAAATTTATCACTTTCACCAAAATTACTAAAACTGCCCGAATGAAATTTACTTGAACCACATCTACCACGCGTTACTATTCCAGAATTCTTACCTTGTTCATTATTGTTCAACCATCCTTCTTATATCTGTGCTGGTTTTTCTTTAGTTGTTCTCATCTATTTAGGTTGACATAAGGAATGTGACAGTGTATGCAATGACGACACGTAGTTTTATTCTTTATTTTTGAAATTTTATAAAATATTAAATTTTCTTCTAATTTGGACTTTTTTCTCAAAACTTGCGTCATTTCAGGGTAATAATGTAATTATTGAAAGGGATTCAAAGGAAAGAACTTCATCATCGCATTCTAAATCGGAACAAATCGGCGAATCCAGATCCGAACGAATTTCGTTGCAAAGTGATTCAGATAATGAATGGAGTTCAAAGACAGATCGAAATGAAAATTCCATGGTTAATGAAATTTAGAAACTTTTTTTTTCATGCTATATGATGCTATATGTTGCTATATGGGATGCTATATGTTTGAACATTTTCCAGGACATACCAAAGCTACGAAACAGAGCGGGAACTCGACCGAGACGAAAAAACCCATTTAATGAAATTATTAGCGCACTTCAAAGCTCTATTTCCTTAGTCCCAGTTAAATCAACCAATCAGCAGTCTCCAACTCTACTGGTACATCTTTTCCTAGTTGATGTCAATATTCAATTTTCAACAATATATCAAATTCATTCTGCAAATTTAAGCGTCAAAATTCCATGAAACATATATGAGCCGAAATATGTATGTAATTAATTTAACTTGAAAAAAAAATGAATGAGAATGATTATTTCTATGGTTGGAATTGAAAGATATCTTTTCACAGCTTAGCAAGCAGAAACGTTTATTAGCAACAGAATATGACCCATCATTTCCGACTACAAATCCCGAAGAATTTGAAAAAAACGACATTGGAATTTGATAATTTGAAAATGTATCATAAAAAAAATAAATTGCATGGAATGCAATAAAAACAATTATGTTTGCTAATGCCTTGTTGACGTCCAATACCAAATCTAAACATCTTTTTTCATTACCACGGTGACAAAGATTTGGGGTGGTGCAAAGTTACAGTATGAGATACTGCTTTTGAAGCATTAATTAATTAGAAATGATGAATAAATAACCATGTGTAATAAGTTGAGTAAGCATGGACAGAATCCCAAAATTTTGAAATCCACGTAAACCGTCGACCTAAATTTCAGGTAAATTATCCAAACAATGTTGTTGTAAGTTAAGGTGTGAGAAATTATTAAAAATTATTATTATTAAACTGTGAGAAATTATTCACCTAAATGTGAAAGAGTTCAGTTCATGTAAATTTTCAGTCATAAGTTTTAACAAAATCACGTAATTCATCAATTTTAAATTTAGATAAAGATCCAGAAATTTTCAATAAAATGAATTGGATTATTTAAATTAAATGTGATTTAAATTCATCGGACCACGTAAACTTCCTGAAGATTATTCGAATTATGCAAGGAAGCTTACATTTATGTTAGTTAAGAATTATTGCGTATAGCATATAATTAGAGAATTTCAGAAAAGTTGCACATAAACGTTTTTTCTATTGTTATGCAAATTTTGCTTTATTATAAAAATAAACGATAGCTGAGGTCTTTTAATTATTGTTTATAAGTGACGAATATACGTGTGGTTTTGTGTGATTAATTGTGTCAATTATTGCTGTTGTAATTAGTAGAACACGGAACTTCTCACACTTCAAGTGACAGGTCTCGATGAAAGAAACTACTAGCGTTTAGCTCTGAACATTAAAAGCATGAATGCTTTTATTTAAGTAACTTGGGTTAAATTGAGGTTAATTAAGCACATGCGATTTTGATATCGTATTCAGGAATGAGAGAGGAAAAGAATTAGAATTAGGATATCTGAATGTATATCTCAAAAAATATCTTGCTCTTTAATAAATTTCAATGCGAAATAAGAAAAAAAGACAATAATAGGATAAAAATTTCTTTAAGTTCCATCTGTTCTTTGTTTTCTATATTCATGCATTATTACTTTATCCATCTGAAAGATCATGAAATTAAGGAATTTATTTGAAAAAGTTGCCCATTTAAATTCTTTAAAAATGTTAAAAAGTATGTAATAAGTAAGAATGAATGGAACGATTGTTAGTATATTTAATTAAACATCTAACTTTCGTGTCCAATATGAAATAGTAATTTTAGTTTTGTCAGCAATTTCAATTTGATTATCAATACGTTTATTTTTAAACTTTTCACTTACCTACTACCGTTAATATTTCGTTGTATTTAACTTTTATTATTTTTCTACGTCAAAATTTGCATAAGGTATGCAATGGTGAGCGTTGAAGTGACAGCAGAAAGTGAACATTCATCATGGATTGATTTTAAACCTGGTCGAAGGTTAATTAAAAAGTTAATTGGATTGATCACATTATCTATCATCTTCAACAATATTAAGCAACATCTTTGCGCACTTTTTCTATCTGCCCTAAAGCTATATCCTCTATCAGAAACTTCCCCGTTACTTTTCATTACATTCGATAGCGGAAGGGTTTCTGACACATATTGTAAAGTCTTTATTGAAAGAAAAAATTAAGGGCAAAGCAAACTAAAAATCCAAAAAAAATCTAATATCAAAGTGATCGATAATAAATTAATAAACGAATCAAGAAGAGAAATTCAGGTTTGGTAAATGGCGGATAAAAAATAAATTAGATGGAGGCGGTTTCGGACAGGTATATCGTGTGGAGCATATTCAGGAACATGGTCGGTACGCTGCATTGAAAGCTGAACCGAATGATATTGAAGGAGGATCAGCGATCAAACTTGAAGTTTGCCTTCTTTTTTAAAGTTTAATCAATTAGGAACAGTTATATACTGTGTAAAACTAAGGAAGAAACTGAAAAGAAAGAATTGCAATTTTATGATACTCAAATGGTATCACGCAGAACTTCTTGCTTTCGTAACCAATCGATTTTTTTGATGATAATTTGAAGTCATAGTCGAAGGATTCTTTAACCTACACTTGTAAAGCTATCATAAGAATCTCTGTAAAATTATAACCCTCAATCAGGAAATATAAATTTTGGAATTTAATTTTAGACCAACCTACAAAGCTTTTTTAAATTTAAGATTATGATAATAAACTTTCTAAATCGTGATGGTGATAAACCGCATGTGGTGAAATTGTTTCATGCTGCAAAACATAAAAAGTTTTCATACATGATTGTTACATTACTTGGTGAAAATCTTCGAACACTTAAAGTAATTATAGTTCATTTCATCCTTTTATTTTTTGCGAGAAAAAATGACTTAAAAAAGAATGATTATAATTATCCAAAAAATTGATTATATTTTAATTTAAAAAAGTCACAAATTCATTCAATTCTAAGTTTATTAATAAGAAATTAAAATGGTTGAAATTCAATAAGTCATGCATGCAGCAGCATAGCTGTTTGTTATTTCATTTTCATCTATAAATGAAGGAAAATGCTTTTTGCGAATATTTTGAAATATTCATTGCAAATGTATGAAACACACCAACAGTTTCAAATTTTAATTCATTTTTAATAATCGTTCAAATTAAGAAACTAATTTATGCAAACATTGTAATATTTTAAACAAAATGTTAAAATGTCTTTTTCGACGATAACATTCCTTCTCCTGAATTATACCTTTTATTTGTCAAATTAGAAATTTTAAATTTAATTCTTATCGGAGGTATTTGCTATCAACGTAGTGAAGAAAGGAAGATAAAAACTAGAAAAAGGGATAGATGATATATTAAGATAAATTGTTCGGAAGAATATTTATCAGTGGGAACATGGTCCCGTATTGGTATCCAATGCCTGTACGGAATCAAATTATTGCATGATATCGGTTTTGTACATCGTGATATCAAGCCAGCCAATTTCGTGATGGGACATCAAGGTGACGCGGAACATGCACGATGTGTTCACATCTTGGATTTTGGATTGGCACGGTGATTTTGCTTGTTTATGCAAAAAAGGGGATTTATTTTCTAAATTTACTTGGAAATTCTTTCTTTTTTTAAGGAAAAGGGATTGAAAAATATATTGACATGTGAGGAAAGTTTCGAATAATTGATAAAAGAAAAGAATCATTCGCACCAAGCGAATTGACTGATCATCTTGATCATCTAATGTTTTTTGCATCAGATAGACCAAATATCCTCGTAATCTCGGTACTTTTGGTAATTTTTTTGAAAAACATGATATAAAATTGTCGCCATATTAAGAGAGAAACAAAATGATAAGGTATAATTACTGTAAATTTACTGTACGTAAAATGTTTCGTAGTAAAATAATTTTTCAAGCAAAATTAGAAAGCTTTAAATGTATAGCTATGTCAAAAAAATATTTGTACGAAAGATTTCTATGAAAATTTCCAGCAATTATGCCTTTGAAAAGCGTAGAGGTCATTGGATAGCACGGCGAGCTCGTCGTTCGGCGGAATTCCGTGGCACAATGCGTTATTGCTCACCCTCAGTTCATGAAAAGAAAGAACAGGTCAAAATAACGGGGAAAATTTGATAGACAGAGAATTTTCAAGTAATGGATATGTTAAATATATGTATACGTTGTGCTAAGCTGATTGATTATTAATTTTCATTTGCTAAATTTTTTTCTTTGCAGTTTCCTTAAAAGTGCACTATTTTCCACCTTTATTTTACGTATAATTTAATACTAAATTGATAATTTAACGTGATAATAGCAACGTTGCAGAATATATTCATTTTCATTAGAGAATAAAATATCCAAAGTGAGAATAGCATAAGAAATTTCAGGGACGTAAGGACGATATCTGGTCACTGATTTATTTGCTGATTGAAATGCATTGTGGTTTACCGTGGCAACATGAAAGAGATAAAGAACAACTGGAAATAAAAAAAATGAACATAACCGACAAAGATTTGTTGTGTCATTTCCCAGGTTTGTGTCATATTTTTGCGCTAATGATTAGAAAATCTGCAGGAAATTTAAACGAATCTGAAATATTTCTGGAACTATTTATTGATTGGTTTAGAAGATTCTTAAGAGGAGTTTGAAGAAAATCCAGTGGAAGTTGAATGATTTATATTGATTAGATTCGACAATTCTTGACAATTCTTGATGAGAATCTGAAAATTCAAATGGATCTAAATTATTTCTGGATGTAATGATTGGTTTAGAAGATTCTTAAGAGTAGTCTAAAAAAATCCAGTGAAGGGTGAATGATTTATATTGATTATGCTAGAAGATTCTTAAAGAGAATCTGAATAAAATTTAAACCAGTCGGAGGGATTTGTATGTTTAACATGCTTTTGCCAATGATTTGTTTGTATGAAAATATTTCCAAACTAAATCTTGTTAAATTTTGAAAAAAATAAAATTGGTTGAAAGTTTCAAGCACAAATGACCAAAGCAATCTTTCCAAAAAAACTACCAGAAACTTCTTTTAATATCTGTATATCTGACTGTCTGAAATATCGTTTTATAGAAGAATTACATCCAATAGTACCACATTTACGAAAACTGAATTGCTACAATCGTCCCGATTATACTATGATTCATAAATGCTTTCTTAAATTAATCGAACGGTTTGACGTAAGCTATGATGATCGATATGATTGGGAATCTGATTTACAACTTCAATATGTGGTCTGCCTCTAATTTTCATGCCAGTAATTTTTTGAACGGAAAAAGAAAATCGTAAAAAAGGATGAGAAACTGCCGATAATAAAGTAAATATGTAATTAAATTCCGTTATTTAAGTTTAACGGATGCTCTGTATTTCATCCTAATTTACTGATACCCAATATGAACTGGAAGAATTAGAAATTTTCCTGAATCGTCCAGTACATATTTTCAGTTGAAGCATCGAAAAAAAAGACCGGAGTATGAGCATGCTGAAGAATTTTTTGCATTTGATCCTATCAAAATAAACGGACCACCGCCGGCCGGATTAAATATGCGTCGAAGTAATAATGAGTTCAACTTTCTCAAATATTCATAAATCATTTTTTCAAATTTTACATTTCAAAAATACCGATTGGGAAGTTTGCAAAACTTTAATTCCTAATTAATTGTGACGATAAAAGATCTCCTCCGAATTTTTATTTCATTTTAGTAAAATTAATAAATTTCAGATAAAACGACAGAAACAGCGGAAGATTTAGAGGAAATGATAGCCAACAATTCATCTCTGTTAAAAGCAAAAGTACAACACAGTCAACCAAAAAAGACATTGAATCGATGAAAAATGTGATCGTAATTTGTTAATATTAATTCATAAAGGGGAAAAATTGTCGTCATATTAGTGTAAATCAATTTCCAATTATTTCTAATTATGTTTTAAATAAATCACAAATTAAAAAACTAAAATTTATGAATTAACATTCAGGCCAATATTATTGATTTTGTTACAGAAAACAGCGTTTTATTATTTCTCGTATGTTTTGGCAATAGCCAATAACATTGATTAGGAGGAGATATGTAGCCAAAGATAATTAATTACTTAGTGTTTGCACGATAATGAATTGTAATTCTTTTCCTTTTTCCCACAGAGTAAAATTGAAGTAGCGCTGATTACAACGATGTGATAAGCGCTATCTCATAGGCATTAAAATTATATGACAAAGTTATATGACCAAAACAAGTTGTGTCATCATTCAATAGTGATTTGGCAAATTGAATTTGTTCGTAAATCATTTCTAAATTAAAATGAAACTCTTTCCAAACGATAAATTTTCACAAATAGTGTAAAAATTGAATGAAAAGAATAGCGCATATTACGAAGGATTAGGAATATTTTTCTCACTAATCGTACTGTAAATTAAGTTATTCGGTTTTCTTTTTTTTCCTTCTTTTTTTAAAGAAAAAATACAAATTTAAAGAAAATAATAGTTGCAGAAGTTCACAAGCAACACTATGAAAGATCACAAATTTAAATTATTCATTTTGTTTTATCACTCAAAATGTTAGGAAACATTTATTTAAATAAATTATATTTGAATAGATCTGCTTGACAGTGGAATAAAACAATAATTTCTACTGACCTGTGACATTCTATTTTGTGATAAATTGTTATATTTATAAAGCTCAAACTGATTAATTCATGATATTTCAAGTATTTCTGTCTTGCCAAATCTTTTTTCTCATTAATTCTGCTCAAGTTTCCGTTATTTAAACATACTAATATCCTGATAGAAACACTCACTGTAGATGAGTCAGTAACTTAAGAAAATTTATTTTTTTTACTTTTTCTTTCTAATTTTTCGTGCATCTTTTCAAAATTTCCTTTACTTCGTTGGTAAACTTTTGCTTTACCCAATGTTAATTTGACGCATATTATTTGCGCTGTGTGCTGTGCTAGAAGTTAAGCAAAACTAGATAATGGCATGATGTAAAGTATTAATGAGCGCATAATTAAATACAAATGCTGGAACAAGAATATTCATTGACAAATGTACATCGTCTTGATTGGCAATTGATTACTTTTCATACATAACTTCCTTTTTCCTTCTTCTTTTCATTTCAATCAATCCTTCATTTTCTAGCTTAAATAGATTATCCGGTTACCAGGAAAAAATAAGAAGGTAAGTATTGCAAGTGTTTTCTAGTAAGTTAATGCTTGATAGAATTTCAGTGTGGCATGATACCAAGGCTTATCAGAAGATAAAAAAATTTGTTGATTGGAGCAATGATGTCACCATCATTAATCAGAACCATGACGTTAAAATGATATGACGTTGAAAGACAATAAATCACCATTGTAAATAGAATTATCACTAATTTGAAAGAATAATATGCTTTAAATATGCTACTTCTTTCTTTTCAGAATTTAGAAATTACTTTGTAAATTTTGTAATTTTGTCGGATTAATAATACTTGAGGCTTTCCAATTTTTAGACTTCTTTGAATTGCAAATACCAAACTTTTCTAGTCGCCAATTACCGTATCATCCTTTCCAACTTTTGACTTTTAATTATTAATTTATCATGTGCAAGTTCGTTTTTTTTAAAATGTACCACAGTTAACTTTTCGAAAGTTTTCTGCTAATAAAAATGAAAATCTTGATGTTTTGCCAATTAGAAATTTTAAAATTTTTCTTGCACCTTGAAATTTATCCTCTCACATTCTTTTAAATTGAAGAATCTGTTCTAATTTTTCATTTAGTATTTGACATTTGTCCATGTTTTGATGGCATTTTTATAACTTTCAAATGAAAGATTTTAAGATTTGATACGATGATCGCTTGGACCATACTTCTTTGTATTTTGTTAATGTATAATAAAAGTGGTGCAGAACTGAATTCTTCTGTCCCATTTAGTGGGACTCACATTGAGGTATATATTTGCGAATTAAAACAAATTCTTATTCGATATTTACCCTTCTATCAGTCTCTGCGCATAAATTATAATTCGAAAATTTACGAAAAATGTTGATTTCTGAAGTTCAAAACTGATTTGTGTTTTACCACCGAAGAAATAATTTCTAATTTTCACTTATAAAGTTTGGAATTAAAACAAATAATTGGCTGCAATAGGCTTTCTTCATTGGAACAAACTTTAATTTCGAGGTTTTAAAACAATTTTTTAGGAATTATATCGAGTTTTATATGGATCAAAACCACTGTTTTTGGTTCGAAGAAATAACAATCACCAGGAGGAATATATGGAATACAACTGATTTATCAGATTGTTTGGAGAGCGAAGTTATTCACACTTCATGCTAATGATATTTGAAATTCAAAGGTAAAAGAAATTGTGGAATTGAGAATTTTACTTCAAGTTTCCCAAAATTTCTTATCATGAAATAATAAATTACAAAATTGAGTTTATATCATATTTCACTATTCAAATCATATTTATTTCGACAATTTTCCCATTGAAATATGTTCGAACAAAGCATCACACTGTACTTACATGTAATATTTCAAAGTTTAAAAAAAAATTACTGCAAAAAACTTAGTGAATCTAAGGATGTTGTCATATACAAAATAATGTTGATGATAACAATTAGGATGACATATATTATTAGAAGTTATATTTGAATGTTATGGAATTTATGCCCGAATATTACGTATAATTTTATAGCAATATGCCCATAGATGAGCTCATTTGAAAGTACATCATGACAGTAATCGAATAATTTCCCTCCAATTAACTCGCCAATTAATTGTACTATCATTCGGTATTATAGATGATTCCCTGTATGTTAGTACAGTATATATAAGTTACGGACTGCAAAATTATTGATACAATGGCGTGAATATATTACAAACTATCTTTTTGTTCCTACACCCAAGTTTGAAATTATCAACTAAATTTCTTGAACTTGGATTGGAATAAGTTTAGAGTTACACAGAATAATGCAAAATCTGTTCAACATTTCGTGAATATTAAAAGAAATTACTAAACATTACTTGAATTAATAAAAAATCCATTGGCAAAAGGGAAACTATTTACTATTTACTATTTGTTCGGTAATTTCATTATTAACATCGAGTAATATTTCCTGTGACATTCAGCATTTTGGACTTTCTCAATGTTATTTGAAAATACAATTTTTAATAATTACTGGAAAATAAGGGAGACAATGTTCTATTCGTTTCTTACTTCTCTTTTTAGATTCGAGAAATGATTTGTAAAGGAAAAACGTTTTCTTTTCGATTGTTAGTTTAACAATTTAATGTAAAATACTTCAGCCGAAAGACAAATTTACAAATTAAAAAGATAATTTTCATGAAAATTGAAAAAAAAAACCTCAAATTCTGAGTGTAAGCAAAAGGTAATGGTTGAGATAATAGAGAAATTGAGGGGAAGCTACCCAACAGTATTGCTAACTTGTAAGACATATCTGGAATTGAATTATGTTTAAATTACAAGATATATCAGAAGTTTGCATAAAATTTGGACATTACATTTTGGAAATGGAAATCTCAACATAATGTTTTGGAACGAGAAATTATTAAATCCATTGTACAGCATGCAGTAACATATCATACCTGAACTGGAATAAGTAAATATTCAAGTTACAAAACCTACTCGCCTTTCACTTTCATTCAAGTTCGACAACAAAATTATGGTGTGAACAAGAAGGGCATCATGTTTCAAACGCATAATCATAACCATCTAACTGTTCATTTTCGTCCTTTCGAAAAAATTGAAAAGCAACCAGAAGTTCTGTAAAATGCTTGAACTCTTGGAAAGAATCTTCTATCCCATCCTACATTCATTTCGAATTATGACAAGATAGTCGCCGAGTATTTGATTTTTCCCACATTTAGAAACGATAAAACATAATGGTTGAAAATATATCATTCGCCTTTACTTACCAACTACCGTTGTTTCTGATTTAGTGGACAATAAAATAATTATTGGCACCAGGAATTCTCGTGTTGTAATCAGATTAGTATCAAGAATAAATGCCCTACTCAAACTTCATTAATTCGAGTACAGAAAATCTTCGGGAATTTCAACCTAAAAGACAAACAGTTCCTTACTTGATGACGCAGACACGAACAGATTTAGCATCGGATTAATATTTACTTAGCTATTTCACCCACTTTAATTCCCACCAAATTTGGAATATATTTATAGAAGTTGAAAGCTGAATCATATGTTAGCTTTCAATGTCGAAATTACTGCATAGGACTTTCAATAGTTTAAATGAGAAATCAGCTAATAAAGGTTATCTCTTTATACTTGGCACCTCCACAGCATGCATTTTTGATTGCAAAGACAGCATTAACTTTGTACATATGTTTCTATCCACATATCGAATAATACGAATATGAAATATGGTGAACGTATACAATTTAACAAACCAAAATGACGTATTTCATGCATCATATATATAAAAAAAATGAGAACTTACGAATCTAAAATACAAATGAAAGCTATAACTAATTCTGTAATAATTTTACAGAACCTTAACAACTAAAGACAAATCATAGTTATTCTAAGTCGAAACATATTTTCTCCCACCAACCTTATTTAACATACTTGTACGATCTATTATATCATTCGAAGAAGGAAACTTTCGTTACTTTTATATTTGTTGGGAAGATTATACATGAGATACAGGTATGTGGAATAGCTATAAAATATATGAAGACTATATGTGAAATGTTGTCATAAAAACATGACAGCATAATTCTACAGTATTCCTAGAAAAACAAATTTGTTCATTGTTTTCAAAATACTTTCCAAAAAATAAGTGCCTAAATCTTGACCAACGTGGAAAAACAATCCTATCTAATCCTTCTTAAATGCCCACGTTCGTAAAGGTACAGCTCCTGCTCGTCGCCTCCCTATTATTTTACCGAACGATTTTTCGTCATCTTCGTAATCACTATGCTGTCTCGATGCAGCGACATTACGATGCTCAACGGTTGCATTGCGTCGTAAAGTCACCGTTGCTGCGGCGTACCACTGCCGTTGCTGCGCAGCATACCTGTTTGATAATTCCACTGCTGTCTTCAACATTTCCTGATGAAATTGTCGCGAATGATCCGTATTCAACGTGCGTGTCAAACTCTCAATTGCTGCAAACAGTTTACGATTTGCAAAAAATGTAGTGTTTAGATGTTGCGACGATGTTACAGCTTGTTCATGCACTGACTCTTGTTGAATACTTCGTCGCAATTCATACGATTCATCACGTAGCCGCTGTTCGACTACATGGCCCCCAGCCATTCTCCGATGTTCGATCATCCCTTCAGCTGCAGCGATAGCTTCTACAAATGCTATAAGTATCTCCAAAGAAATTGGCGCGGGAAAAAGAATAAATGTATCATATACCAAAATATCTTTTAAGACAATTCTCCTTTTCTTGAAAAAAAAATTCATTAAAGAAAATAAAGCTATGAAAGTTACTTTTTTTTCAGTAATCAATATCCTTCAATTTTCGCATTAAATATTACAGGATATCACAAGTCTAGAATCATTTATTTAGACGGCAAACAATATATATATATATATATATATATATATATATATATATTTATTATTAT